CTCTCTCTCTCTCTCTCTCTCTCTCTCTCTCTCTCTCTCTCTCTCTCTCTCTCTCTCTCTCTCTCTCTGTGTTTTACTCACTCCGTCTCCCTCGCTCCGCGCGCGTGGGCGACTCTTCAGATAGGAAAGGGCGGGTAGGGCAGTAGAAGGGGATTTGACCGCCGCCGCCACCGCCGCTCCCCGCGCTGTAAAATGACAGGTGCTCTTACCTCTCTGCTCCCCTTGCCCCTTGCCCCCTTTCCCCTTTTCTCCCGTTGCCTCTACTCCCTACTACTACCCCTGGGCGCCCACTCTACTCCAATCCGCACAGCCCTGCAGTAAACTGGATCGTAAGAGAAGGAAGAGACAAAGTCATACGGGGGCGGAGTGGCCCTGTGTGACACATGGCCGTCTCCCTCAAGCCGGCCGCCTCTCCCTTTCGCACTCTCGGTGACACCCGGAGTCATCGCAGGACGTGGGCCGCGTGCGGGAACAACAACACTGTCAGGGCGTCGTACAGCAATGCACACATGGCTGGGTTCTAATTACTATAAGGTCACACTCAGAAAACCGTTTGATCCGCTAAACGAAAACAGAAGCCAAGAAAATTTTACTTGCGCAAGACAAATTTTAGTCGCCCTGATCATGTGATTTAGTCACGTTGATAAAGGTATGATCGACCAGATAATATTTCCTTTAGAATTCTTGATCAAATGTTTAGTTGGCTTGAGGGGTTAAATTTTGATTGATTCAACACTTTCTGAGTTATTAGGACAAAACGCTTTTCTCAGTGCATGGTTTCCGTTGAAAAATTTGGTCAGAGTACTAATTAGGTATCATTCGTTTTTCTCAAAATTGCTGAAGCTCGGTGCCTTTGATAGATGTAGGCTACGCCGCGCTACACGCTTGTGTTGCAGGCATGTTTTGAGGCGCCTCTTGCATGGCTGAACATGGCAGTTCCGTAACGGCAAATGATGAACATATTTTTTGGCGATGATCTCTTATGGATTATTGAGAGCAAAGGAATAGGATTCTAAGATTATATTTTCAAAACTGACCCTAAAACTGGTAGTTATTAGGCCGATAAGAGGCGTTGGATTTAAATGAAGCAACAGCGCTGGCTCTTTCTCCCCACCAGAACATCCTGAGATGGTGGTGCCTCAGGGTGGCGTGGCGCCTCCCGCATACCCTCTCGGTGATCTATTGCCTTTCGTACGCCTTTTTTTTCTCTCCCTCCCACTTCCTTTTTTTTCTTCGCTCCCTCTTTCCCTCAGCGGCCACTTGCATTCTTCCATCCCTTACGATCGCCCCTACCAGAGGAGAGCGACCACCCTCCAGACCAATCCCAATGCACCGACCACTGCCACGCTCGCTTCTAGGAAGGAAAAAAATCGGACGCTGGAAAAGGAAAAATATAAGGACGCGGGGCTGTGAGATTTGTCTCCTTCCCACTCCGTGCGGCGGAGGAAAGGGACACAAATAGGATAAGAGGTAGAACGATTGGAGAGATGGAGAGCGAGCAAGAGAGAGAGGGAGGGGTACTCGCCTCTAAGGAGCGCATGTCGATATGGATAGCAATTTGTCAGAGCACTCTGGTATGACCCTCAGCGACTGTGGCGGTTCTTTTGTAGAGTGTCTTTTCCCCTTATATTAGTTTGGTCCTGGTCCTGCGCTGCAGTCGTTGGCGAATTTCTCCGTCGTCGTCGTCGGTATATAAATAAATTCATTCCGAAGAAGTAGTAAAAAAGCGCCGCGCCCGCTGGAGTGAGAAAAGAGAGAGAGAGAGAGAGAGAGAGAAGGGGCGTAAACTTTGTGCCTCTGCGCCGCGGCCAACAAATCACGGGGACGAGGAGGTCAAATACCCACTACGCTCTGCCACGCCCCGCCCTGGTCGTTGCTAGAAATAATGAACCACGCCATGCATACTCTAAGAGCGAGCTGCGCTAAATGGCAACAAGAACCATTCCCATGGTAGGGAGAGAGAGAGAGCGAGAGAGAGAGAGAATAAATAAAGTGAAATGTGAAATGAAAAATAAGCGGGGGCGAGGGTGTGCTGGAGGGGGCTAGTATTGATGTTGTTTGGGGCGAGCCCTTAGGGCCTGGTTTTATGATGCCCGGCTGGAGGTGACATTCTGATGAATCGCACCGATATATTCGCACGTTATGCAAAGTCGACTGCCTTCTTTTATTTTTTAAATGTTGCTTTTCTTCTTTTTGCGGCGACTGTTATGCGTGCGTGTGTGGGCCACGCTCTCTCCCTCTTTTTGTTTTCCTCCCCCCCCCCCCTCTCCGCCGACATACAAAGCCAAACAAAGTGCGCAGTTTAGAAATTAGTTCTTCGTTATAATTCCCATATTATTTACTTTGCGAAACGTTATTTACATTTCCCTCTCTTCTGTTGCAGGTATGCCTTTTTACAAGAGCGTCATCCGTCGATACCTTTGAGAGGTTCATCTATCAGTAAGCCAATATGAACGCCGATGATACCAAACTCTTTCGTGTCATTTCCAGCAATTGCTGGGTCAACCCTTAACCTTAAGTCATATCCCCGGTGCTAGTAGTGCCACTGTGCCCTTCCTAGGCTGCCGTCGCCCTGCAGCATGAGAGCTGGGCGGCGGAGTGGAAACTACTTACCCTCCTGTAATTGATACGATTGACATGTTGGCTCGTTGACAGCCCTGCGCGCTAATTACCCGCCGGGTAAGGGGAGGGGGGCCAGTGGCGACGACGAACTGGAGAAAAACAAGTCACGGCCACGTCTGACTTTGGGTAACTAACGACGGGAGAGCTGAAGAAGAAGACGAAGAAGAAGAAGAAGAAGAAGAAGAAGAAGAAGAAGAAGAAGAAGAGAGCGTCTTGCTATGAAAAAGGTGTCGCTAAAGTTCGAGTGAAAGCGTGAAAGCCACTGCCGAAAACTGAGGGGATCTCGGAGCAGACACCCGAGACGTACACGCGGGCTGGGTCGCCTCTCTGACAAATTATAAGATGGAAGATAGGAGCTCCTGCGTGTTGAAGAGACGTTGATTGTCTTTGTCAACAAAAGATTATGTTCACCAGCCCCATCAACTACTTTGATTAATTCCATTGACGTTAAGCATGTCGTTATGTGGTAATATTTGTTTTTGCGAGAGATGCGGATAAGTTTAGGTACAAACATCTCGTTTGCAGACGCACAGGTGTTATCGGGGCGGCCTATTGTTGTGTGCGGCCCCAGTTTATGTCGTCCATTGTAAACTTGGACCTTATCAGAGAGGCTGCAAGCGATTAGTGTTAAATCGACTATAACTCTGTTTGGGCGGCGTCGTCGTGGTGATGGAGAGCGAGAGCGAGTGAGAAAGAGTAACTCAGGGGTCAGTAGCCCTGATATCCGCTCGCCTCCATGGCTGATCTGCTGGTCCTAATGCACCACAATAGACCGCCACAAGCAGGTTGAGATTGGGGGGAGGGGGAAGGCGGCCCCTGCCCCTCTTCTTCCTCCTTGGCATCATCCCATTCCCCGCGAGGGATATTGGAGTCGATTGGAGATGACATCTGTACCCACACCATGTTTCCTCATCCTGAGGAAGCGCTTCCCACTAGCGGCCCGGCTGGGGAGGGGCGGGGCCTGCCCGGGGCCTGCGGCGGGCACGTCGCCGAATCGTTACCGAATGTGTCGGGGACACAATCTGGCCGTCCATCTATACGCCATTTCTCCACGGTAAAAACGACGTCCCGGTTTTCATGATGATTTGAAAAAACCAATACTCTCATAATGCAAGAGAACGTCTTGTTTTTTCCAAACCGTCGTGAAAACCAGTACGCGTTTTTATACCGTCTCCTGTTGAAGTCCTGGTGTCTATCAGCCTATCTATCTATCTATCTATCTATCTATCTATCTATCTATATCTGTGCCCTGTAAGGTTTTTTAAATACTGAGTTTTTCCGTTGTTTCAAGAAAGGATTCACTGTTTTACCCTTCCTGGCTGGGGTGTGTCCTTGTCCTACTGCACCCCTCCCCTTCACTATACCTCTTTCTCTCTTTCACCTCAGGGACAAAAATGCTAAGGTCGATCTCGCGCGCTGGCGCTGCAAATGTCATCGGCAGTCCTATGACGTGAAAGTTTGTTTTTGAAGGTGGGAAATCGTTTTTGTTACAAAATGATGTAGATATTGTGTACAGATGTATACAAATGTATACAATAGTATACAATTTTATCCACTACATGACGTAGTGTGACGGGTGTGGCCGGTGAAATCGATATAGCTCTATTGGCCAACAGAACTATAATTATGGTGGCAGTTGTGGTGCTTCGAGTGAAAAGAATTTCTCTTGATGGGTACAGACAGAAAAGAAAAGAGCAAAAGTAGAAGTCGTCTTGTTCTTCTTACTGTCGAGCAGGCGGGCGCCTGCGGTGGAAAGCAACAAAGTCAATCTCGGATATCGACGCCAATGAAGAATATCGGGAAACTGTTGAGCCGAACTCCAAACCTGTTACGCAAGCCTAGCCCCCTCGCTGTAATGGGTATCAATTTTAAGTTTTTCGTTGATGGGGGTGCTCTGCCTTTCGCCTTCACCCACGCTTTGCACAGTGCCCAGAAATTTAGTATGAGCACAAGTTCTCCAATTCTATGAACTGTTCGGCTATTTTGAATGCCGAATTCTGCATGTTCTTCAAATACTTTTCCATTTTGAACATAGTTTGGCAACTAACAGGCTCTGTAAACGCAGATGTCTGAATGTTGTTAACTTTTTCGAAACCAGGTTTACTGATATATTGAAATAACAGCAGGTCTTTAAAGTCTCGTTGTGCGTTTATGTCGGGCAGTAGAGCAATCGTACAAAAATTCCCTCTCTTGGTAGTGTACCTTTTTTTTATCGCTGCCGCCGGCGAGGCAGGCTCGCGGGCGTGCGTCCCGCCCGGGGCGCCAGTCCGGCAATTTGTAACCTGTTTGGTGTGCTGCATATCTGCTCGGGCGACCCCGCCCCGGTGCGGCCGCGCAGTGGCGCGGCGCTAGCCAGCCACCTCCCCGAGGGGCCCCGCCCGCGGCCACTCCTAGGCCGCCCCCTCCCCGCTCCTCCCGCCCACTCGCCTCTCTTACGCCCTTCCCACCGCGCTCTCCGACCCGCGCCGGGCGCATTTATTCGGCGGCCCGTGACAGATTTGGCAATAAGGGTACTTTGTAGTTTCCCTTTGCTCGGGGGGCGCAACTTTTCGGTGCGTTCGGCTACGACCTTCGACCTTCCACCCCTCTGTTCAGCCTTCGCGGTGACCAGCCCCACCCTCTCCACCGCCTTGCCGCCTACTTCAGTAATAGGGTCCCACGTAACGCTTTTTTGATTTACGGTTCTCGTCTAGGAGCGTGTTGTGTGTAAAGGTTTTTGCGGGGCTGAATTTAAACCACTCTTAATTAATGATGGGCTTTAAATAGTCAAATGATTTGGTCCCGTTCGAAAGTAATTTTTGCTCTATTATTTTGCTACACAAGAATTAACTTTGCTGCCCCCCTGTGCGAGCAAGGAGAAACAGGGGAGGGAGGAGGCGGTGGAATATGCTAGGCGGCTAGACATACAGCGCTAGGTCGGAGGGGTGGGTCGTCTGCAAATGCCCTCCGTGGCTGCGGGAGCCCCCCAGGCTATGACGAAGAAAAATTCGCCCCCCAGATGGCAGGCCACCCCGGCCGCCGCGCCCCACCACGCCCTACGTGTGCGCCAGTTCCTCCCTCTGGACTACTGACTGGACTCGGTCCCCGCACAAGGGTATACTTCCCCATGAAAATACACATTTACGCCTCTATTAAACTGCATGTGGGTTGATTCATTCAATGATTGAACACGAGGGTACGGCCGTGCGACCACATTATTGAGGTAGCGCTTTTCACTGTAACAAGATATCCAATGTGTGTCGCCATTTCGGCGACTGCGTCAATGCGATGCGATGCACACGACTGACTCAAGGGGCTCTGCTCCCGGTCGGCTTTTACCACCCCCTCATCCTCATCTTCATCTTCGTCCGCCTCCCCTCTCCTTAATTCGCATTCGCCTTCTTCCTTAACTTTTCTCATAACACTGTTGTTGTTTTTATTATTATATTCTCTCTTTTCCGATATCGCCGCGGTGCGGTGAGCGGACAGCATGCGACAGCCCTCAGGTTTCCTGTGTGTGTTCCGAGATGCAACGCCAGGGGCGTAACGAGAAGAGATACGGAGGGGAGGCTGGGGGGCGATAGATTGAACGTGAATCCGGCCCGCAGGGGGGCGTATTGCTTTTGAAGTGAACGTTAATAACATCCTTTGTTGTAAGATTACCTTTGTGGTATTACCACGAACCTTCTCTCTCTCTCTCGCTTTTTTTCTCTCTCTCTCTCCTCCTCCTCTGGCGCTTCTCCGAGTTTTTATCAACTCCCGCGGATATTTGAAACTTCCCGCTCAGCTGTTCAATTCGTTTTCATGTCTGCGGTGCGCGTCATTGCGGAGTAAGTGGCGTGTTTCCCTTAATCCCTGAGGGTGACCGCACTGCCTGTTGGCTCCCTCCCTCTCTCTCTCTCTTTCTTCTCCCGTCTCTCCCTCTGTCTCCCTCTCTCGCCCTCTCTCTCCATCTCTCTCACGCTCGCGCTCCTTTCCCCCGCACGAGTCGCGCGTGAAGTTGTCGCAAGTGCAAACCTATGAAACGAAACGACACTCGGCCACTTTGGGCTCAAGTTGGACTATTCTCCTTCATTTTCGGAGCCACTGCGCTTCGCTTCCACCCCCAGTCCTAGAGGCCCCCTCTTCCCCTCCTCTTCTCTTTCTCTCTGTCCATCCGTGTATCTCTCTGCACTTTTCTCTCTCTCTCTCTCCTTCCCTTGATGTCTCCCTTACTCTGCTTTATGTATTTTGTGGGCAGAGGAACAACTTTTACTGTCGCCCGTTTAAGCTTGCTGGGCCAGTCCCTGTTTTCTGCAGCTACTCTTTCCCAACTTGCGTACACGCTCTAGATATCATTTCTACCCC